TTTTATAAGTCGCTGCATCTTCTGCCCTGTTTTGACCCCCCACAACCAGGTGCTATGTCAGTTAAACACAGAGGTCAGATTTCCATGTAGAAAATGGAAATATTAAGGTACTCCAGCTGTCTGCTCAGTTGTGCATGAGATGATAAACATCGGTAGGCTTTTATCTGAGTGCTTTTCTCAAGATTCTCCTCACACAAGGATGAGCAGTGAACAAGGCACATGCTATGTAAAAGGCTTGGTGCTTTTGAAAACCACAAGACTTCTCTTTGCAATTCTCAAAGCACCAAATGGGGAAGCCGTGGCAACTGGGATGTGTCACTTTCTCACCTCCCATGTCATCAGCTACGACATCTGGTGCACATACAGTTCTGCCACTGGCGATGGGTACTAGATACACAGAAATCAGTGCTTATGAAGACCACTTTGCAGAACACACAGCTTGATGATTCATAAGGGGAAACTGCAATGGTGCAACATGTAATTGGTGTTCCAAAAATGTTATCTAATGAAGCACATTATGTTTGGTAGTGTTTGCAGTTTTTATGTGAAATACCTTAATTTGATCAGACCAGCCTTTTATCACCTTCCCACGCAAACAAACAAACAGTAACACACACACATCCTCATGCACGCACACCACGCTACACACTGGCTTGATCGATGCATTGTGCTATATGAGAGCTGTGTGTGATGGGTAGCCAGCAGGGGGGTGGGTCAATGTGCTGCTGCTCGCTTTCTGTCTTTCTGCGTATTCTCATACTCTGTCCAGCGCTGAGAGCAGTAACTCACTGTTGCTGCACAGTAAGGCAGAATCTCCATCCAACTTGGGGATTTGAGAAGCAGTCATCAACCTTATCTATTTAAACCTTAAGCGTGGTGGATTTTTTCCACCAGCAGTTTTACATGCCGTACAGCCTCAGCGTCTCTGATCCTCTTTACCAGTCAACTACAAAGAAAGAGGTGTCCTGGAGAGAAGGGGCTTCGCTCTCTGGATAAGGTAAAGTAACACTTTGTTCACATAGTGACTAGGTTAAGTTTTACCATGGACTTTATTTGAAGCTCTCTCTTTATTTTGTATACATTTATAAACTAGTATTTTAACCATGATATGTAAATCTATTGGAAATCAACAATATGAAGCAAACTTTCTAAGAGCGCAAAACCAGTTTTCAAGAATGTGTTTGATCTATTAATCTAATAAAAAGGATGAATTTGTTTTCCATTCTCTTGCTAAAAAATACATTTTTCGTTCAAGCTTGGTTGTTGTACCAGTGTTACTAAAATTTCTTCCTAAATGTAGTCACACATTTTAGATTTTAGATTTAGATTTAAGATCTTATTTATTCTCATCAGCTCTTGATTAACCCCAACAGATTCTTTCCTGATCATATAATTATACAGTAATGTTGATGTTAGCAGATCAATACTTAAATTTACCCCAAGCTGGGCATCTGGTGTTGTCAGAAGGGGGTTTGACCGTCTCACCAATACAACATGCTGTTTTATAACATGATTTGTATTTAATTCTTGTAAACTATGGAAGATAACTTCTATTAAAAACAATTTGTATAAAAGGAAAATATCTAACAAACACACTTGTTGATTCAAACAATGCTCTGTAATGTTTACCAATTCATTTGTCAAGAGTAGTTCTTTAAGTCATTTTCCAAAAGATTTTAAGTTTCATAATACGGTTTTAAAATGTGTTTAATGTCTTTTAATATCTACTAAACAAGTAGAAAATTAAAATCATTTACTTAAAACAATACATGAAGCATGTTCTCTCTCCAAAGCTTATTCATCATCGATCCATTTGCTTTCCATGAACATGAACCTCGTATTAGCGATTTCTGAATGAACAAGAGCACATTTGGTGTTACCATTCCAGTTATAAATGTTTATGAAAGAGAGCAAAGGTGCATTTCACCTTTAGTGTGAACACAGTTACACTAAATCAGATGTTGATTTATGGTACTTTCACATGAGACAATGCTTTGATGCCTAGGGGAAGGAAGAGGTGATTGAGGGATCCTCTGACGCACAAGGCTTCACTGAGCACAGCAAGAGCCGTCTGGACCTGACACACAACATGTCCATCTATGCTTCACCCATTATGCTTTAACATAGATGCCCATGCTCATGTATTATGTGTCAGATTCACTACTGCTCTGGTGGATTAAATACAATACCATCAAGCAGCTTAATTTTGAATTGTGCACTGCAAGTCAACAGAGGACGGAATTTATAACATGTTCTTGTTCTCAAACAAATTATTAATGTGACATGACAGATGTTTTACACTATTCTCTGAAATGGATGAGGCAGAGAGCATTGTGCTGCACTGGCACCTAACTCCGTTCTGTAATGCAGATCAGAGGACGACAGGAAGTGGGTTTACATATGATGATAAGTACTGTTAATATTGTGTGACTCAATGTGCACTCTTGATTCCATCACATTAACAAAATATATAAATCCTCTTATAATCACTGCTGCAGTGAGGCAATGGACACATGGAACAACAAGTCCATACAGCCATTTTCATTATAAAAATGCCTCGACTTAATCACCTCTTTGTTGAAAATGCCCAATAATTGCTGTGTCACACTTCTATACATCCTTCCTGTCACTCTGCCATCCATTTTTAAATGTCTTTTTTTGCTGTGTTGTTTATAAAAATTCTCCTCTGTCCTTTTTTGCCATGGCAGCTTCACTGCTCTTCAACTCTTAATGTGATTAATAATCGGTCAACCGATTTTACAGTTTCCAAGCGTTAATAATTGATATTAAAAGGCACTGACTGTCATAATCCTTCTGATTCCATAAGCTATACGACATAAATTCATTACAAAACAAAAAGCACACTCAGTCCTAATCTGTCATGCCAAGTCAGTGTTAAACTGGAAGACCTTTTTAGGTCTTTTCAGGCCTGAATGGTGCAGTGTAGAGAATGTTTAAAGTTCTTGGAAAATTACTGAGGTCATGTGTCGGGCATTAGGGAAGAGAATATTTGTACCAGTCCTATACCATTCCTACCAAAACACCTTGCAAAGGAGATACTGAGCTAATGGCATGATTGCTCTTCTCATTGGAGAATAGGTGTGACACTTGAAGAAGTGAAAGGCTCAAAAAGGCTAAAGTGCTGACATTAAGAGAAAAAAAAAGATATGAGGGCAGGTGCATAAAACTCACCACACTGTGTACACACAAAGACAAAAATATGCATATGCATTCTTTTTGACAGAAATGTGTGTGTGTGTCTTAAGGCACCTTTTAAACAAATCAAGAGATTCTGCTGTTCCTATATTTTCAGGCAGATTATTCCAGAGTCTTGGTAGAGTGACTGAGAAGGCCCTGTCTCCAAAAAGTTTCCAACAAGATCGTGGGATGATTAACATCCCTTGATCTGTAGATCTGAGGGGCCTAGCTGTACTGTATGGGATATAAGTTCTGCAATATAGAGTAGCTCAAGTCCATCCAGGGCTTTAAATACAAACCAAAGAAAGGAATTCGATACCGGACGATGACCCAGTGCAAAGATGCTAAAAACAGGTGTACTATGTTCCCTTTACATTCAATATATTATTCAAGATTATGGTTGAATATTATGCCAAGGTCTTTTGCATAAGGTTTGATGTGCCTGGATAAATACTTGGCAGACTGGGTGGTGCTGAGGGAGTTTGGGGGCAGAACAGTATGTTCTCTGTTTTGTTTTCATTTATTTGTAGAAGATAATTAGCGATCCATCCTTTAATATCATCCACAGTTGCCTGCAATCTGTGTAACAGTGAAGTGAGACAATGTAGTTCTGAAAATGTGTTGGCAATATGCTCACATTGACGATACCAGCATAATGAAGTTTAGCCTCACAGGTATAATAGTTTACCATGTCACCACCAGTGTTAGCATTTGCTAATTACCACTAACTTTGTTTAGTTGACAGCTAAGGTTGATGGGAATGTCCTTAGTTTTGGAGGTGTTTTGTCATAAACCAAGTATTGGACAAACTGAAATTTTAACTTGATAATGGCGGTATAGTAAAGCTTAAGGTATCACCAAAGTTATATAAATTCATCCCGAGGGGAACATCAATGTGTGTACCAAATATCATGGCAATCCCTCCAAAGCTGTCGAGACATTTCAGTCCAAACCACAAATGTCAACGTCATGGTGGTGCCAGAGGAAAAGTCAGGGGATCACCAAAGACAGTAGTGGTGGACCAGCCAACCAACCATAATGATAGACCAAGAGAGCTGTGTAAAGGTGAAACTAAGCTTTTCAGTACTTTTCTCTAAAAAGCTTGAAAGCCAGACAAAATCGTCTGTAATGTCCAACCAACCTAACAAACATACTGTAGAGTAGGCACAGAACAGTACTGACTCTTCCTCAGAACCTACAGAAACAGTACAATGAAAACCAAAACCCAAAATTTCCTATTTGAAAGTTCACAAAGTTCACAGCTGAGTACCAAAACATCAACAGTGATCTGGGAGGAAATGTAGGGATTTCCTCAGATTTCGTAAAGGAAAAAAAAAGTGGGTAGGTTCAAAATGTGAGCACTTACCTGGTACATGTCTAAAGCACAAAAAACAAAAAAAAATAACAACAATGGATGTGATCAATAATGAAAGGATGGATAGAAAATATAAAAACCAATGTAAAAATATAAACATAATTTCGTGTCACATAAGACAAGCGAATTAACATGACCTTGAGTCAAATGTCTTAACTGATTAGGATGTTGACATTAGGATATGGTAACTCAATAAAGATGCAGTCTTGCAGACACAAGCTGCATGCTGTGCTGTCACATCTTATTTTTACATTTGTGTCCCCAGACATTTTACTTGCTAATCATGATAAGTACTCTTACATAATGCTGGAGAGTTTGGTGGGTCAGAGTGACAGAGGGGAAGCTTTGTATGAAAGTCATGAAGATAGATACTGACAGATAATGTAGATGCTGATATCTGTGTCTGTGTGTGGTTGCTGTCACAGAAATGGACGTGGATCGTGGATTTTATCGACAGGTAGATGTCCAGGACCATGCTCACTACATCGTTGCCTTCTTTGTCTTGGTGATTGGAACAGTGGGTGTTACTGGCAATGCCTTGGTCATGTATGCCTTTTTCTGGTAAGTGAAGAAAAATGGTGAACAGTGAGATGAGTTTGTCTGTCATCGTCAGTTTAAAAGCTGCATTATATAGCCAGTTGTAAGCTATTAGCAATTTCTATTGCCAAATAAATGAACTGGAAATGTTTACTTTGAACCTAAAAAAATTACTTACTTACTTATTCTTCATTTCACACCTTAAGGCCTGATTACAGCCTTCAAAAAAATTTATAAAACTAAGCAGTAGTGTTTCAGTTTTTCTATAATTAAGATGTAATACAAAGCCTTATTTTGACCATGTCTCGCACAACATTAATCAAACTTTTGAGCTAGGTTGATGTGTGCTGATACACTGAAAACATGTTAATGAATTTCATGGGAAAACCATACACTGCATGAACAGGAAGTGAAGAATCATGATGCTGACCCACTGCTTGCACAACACAGCCTGCTGACTTTGAGTTATTCTCTAAGATTTAGAGATTTAGAGTGTACATTCCCATCCTCAGTATGATGCACCTATATTTGACACTGTAACAAGCCTCGGTTAGCCCATCACATTTCTATGAACAAATTATGGGAAATCAGGAGGGAAGGGTATATATGGACTGTGGGAGCATTGTGCTCTACTGTACAAGTTCTGGTAGAACTCAAGAACAAGTGAGTTCACAGAGGCTGTTTGCCTGAGGACTGTTCTGTTAATCATCCCACATTAAACGGCCCATTTGGAGGCATATTATGTGAGGTCTTCAGATCTTTTACTTAAGTAAAAGTAGTAGTATCTCACTTTAAACCTAATCTGTTACCAGTACTGCATTCAAAATTAGTAGTAGTACAGTAGTATTATCAAAAAACATTACTTACAGCTAGTTTTAAGAACTATATATGCTATACTGTTACATAGATTAATCTATAAACATGGGTGAAACTACTCACTTTAGTTAAGTCATTTATTGGGGTACTTTTATGTACTTTTATGAGTATGCATTACATTATGACATCTTCTTTTCTACTTTTAAAATCATAATTCACTACTAAGTAGGCCAACAATTTATATCCATACTGTTCATCAGCATTTTTGAGATAACAATAGCCAATATGGCCCCCAGTCGGGCTGTTCAGACAGAGTGCGCCACGCAGCGGAGCCGGCTCACGACCTTCAGCAACCGGTTCCATTTTTTCTGCCCTTAAGTAACTTAAGTTCAGTACTTGAGTAAATGTACTTAGTTACTTTTCCATTGCATATTATAATATCAAATAACACATTTGAGTTATCTGACTGGATTAAAATAAAATCATCTCTATAATATATGAAATTAAATATATTAATCTATGGAATATCAAAAAGGGTGACTAACTAAAGGTCATATACCAGCAGAGATTTAGAGCACTGAACGGGTGTTGGGAAGCACAGATGTTACAAGCACAGGCAGAGAGGTCTTCACAGCAGCCTGCAGGCATTCAACATCAGGAAGCAGCTCAGTGATTTTCTAACTGTACTGGATAAATCAATGTATAAATTCAATAATTCAGTCAGCTATTCCCTTATTTATGCACAGTCATCCCTGTGCTACCACCTAAACTGCATTAAGCTTAAATAACAGTACTGAAGCTCAGGGTAATCCAATGAACTACTATGTGTCCCACTATACACTTACGTCAGACAGTGGAACAAGATTCTCAACTAGAGTAGAGGAAAAATGTGGCTGTAGCCTACAATGTATCTTCCCCTCAGTATTTCCCAGCCAAAAAGAAACCCAAGACAGCCTTCACTTCAAAACCTGAAGAAGATTCAAATCAACATTAACTTTTACTATTTCATTCAGACTATACAGAGGACAAGTGCACCACAAAACAGAATTACGTTGCATCCAGGACACAAATTTAATTTAAAAGTAGTTAGTAGATGCGTGTCTGTAAGCCTGCAATAAAAACAAAAGACTCCCAAGTTAATATACTATATAGACTGGTGTGCATGTTGCATACAGTATGTACACTATGGCTACTCCTGGGTGTATAGTATACCTGAGTATTATACTCCTGGGTATATAGTATTCCACTGAATGCAGTGAAGAGCCAAGTGTTAGATAAAATCCTGGGTCAGACATGTTTTTTTCATTAAGGTCCAATCTCCAGTGATACACATCTACACACAGCTATCTCCAAATGTTGCATCACTCGATTTCTACTCCAGTCACACTTGTTCAGTACAAACCCACTCATCTGCATGAAGACACATGAATACACTCCTGATACATGAAGCTAAACAGTTAAGGCACTATATGAACGCTGGTGTACAATTTAGTCATCCAGAATGAGGAAGCTTATAATATCATTGTTCTCAATTTAGTTGGAACAAATATTCAGCCTTCATCTGTATCCATACTCCTGATACCTTTTATCTGACAGTAAGTATAATGTGAGTGTAAAATGCTCACTGACACAGATTACACTGACATTTTGCAGATGAAAGACATACCTGCCATAAAGCTAGAACTTGATTTAGGTGATCTTCAGATTTCACACACCTTTGTCCCTCCACATACCCCCGTGCTGTTTCTAGGGTCTTGTTTGAGCATAATGAAGGCATTAGGTTGCCAATTAATCTGAGGTGTAGGTGTGTGCAGTGAGCTATGGAATGTTAACCGAAGGTTATTAAGGACACACCATTACCATGCACTACAACATGACCGTCTGTGCACAGTCGCAGCCTCAGAAAAAGCACTGTCAACATCTGCTGTGGGCCACGCATGGACAGCTAGTTTTGAGCTCATTACTGTTCATACACTACACATGTAAATGTGTATCGCAGGTTTTCATGAAGTGGGACAGTGAATAGCAACATATTTTGTTAACACAGTCCTTGTTAGCTGAGAAAGGATGGATTCACATGTGCGGGTGTTTCGGCAGCATGTTGTTCAGTTTCTCTTCTGGACAATAGAGGGGCAAGGTCAAAGTTACCAGGACAGAACTGACTTCAGTTACAAGACGTTGCTTTCAGGAATAAAGCTTTAAATGGCACACAAATGTAGCAGTGCAATTCAGCTCTGTTTGTGAACTTGTACACAGGCTTAACACCAATTTAAAAAAAAACATGTGCTGTATTGTTCTTCTTGTTCATTTGTGGGAGACACAAAGATGTTTTGGAAGACCATATAAATCCCCCTGCTGCCTGCATCTTGTGTTGGAGTCAATAAGTGAATATAATATCAATACTGTTTGGGACTTTTGAGACACTTTACCTTCTTGGCATTTGGCTTTCGTGGTTCCCAATTGTCTTCCTAACAAAGGAACCCAATTTTAAGGTAATTTATAATTGGCTTTCTCACCTCTAGTTATACAGTGTCTGCTTTGACTGATTCTTCTTCATTACAACTGTTAACACAACTAGAAAATGAGTCATTGTCTTCAATAACACAATAACTCAATAAGGGAGTGCATTAGATAGTCCGATAGTAGTAGAATACGTGCTTGTGTTCCTCCATTTCGTATTTAGTGGACAATATTAGTGTGTTTACTCATGATCCTGTTAGACTAAGAGATACACTCTTGCATCTTTCATCAATCTGAACTTGCTTTAAGAGAGAACAATAGCATTAGAATGACAGTATTATTTAAAGTCAGTGTTTGGATGTGCCATTGTTATTGATTTCCATTCCCCTGCCTGTTATGGTAAAGGAGATGGACTGAAGTTCAGAAGGATGTGGATTTGAGAGTTATTGGAAGGATATTGTACTGGCCAGGGTATGAATCCTCCTCCATCTAGATGCCTGTACCCAATTCTGGGGTAATTTAAAAAACAACCTTTCAAAACAATAAGTCTCTTACTGGAATGAAACCCCCCTCTGGATTTCAATTCACAGCCAAAAATGTAAAATATATTTTAAATACAATCTTAGAATGTATCTTAACGTGTGTAGTTTACTTACATAGTAGAATAACATCGTATAAGTTTCCTATGATAGTGTGTACAACAAATTGTCTGAACATATAACCGTCAACTGAATACAACAAATATAATAGGCCATGTTTGTGCTGTAGATCTTCAACTGCCTCTGTTACTTATGTGTCAACAACAACATATTGCTTTGTGGGACACTGAGAACTCTGAATTTGAGTCTTTTCAATCTTAATGTGTTTCAGTAACAAGAAGCTACGGACTCCCCCCAACTATTTCATCATGAACCTGGCAATCAGTGACTTCCTCATGGCAATTACACAGTCACCTATCTTCTTTGTTAACTCCCTTTACAAAGGGTGGATTTTTGGTGAAACAGGTACTTTTTTCATTCATCACACATGTTATGTAAAAAAAGACACATCCTTTATCTATCCATGTTTATGTATGGAACTATGTATGAAATATAGTAATCATTTCTGTTTTTTGGGCTGTGTTTTTATGGCACTAAAATTTAATTTATCAGTTTCTTCCATGCAATACGGGGATAGGCTTTTTACAGTCTCAGGATGCTGCATATGTGTGTTACGTTAGAATCTTCTGTTAATATGTTTAACCATTATGAATGTATGTAAAAATGTAGGGAATAGGATAATAGCGTTCAGATCTTTTTTTTCTCTTTACCTAGGAACACCCACCTGACCCTAATTGATCTGACACCAAACCTTGGCAATATGAATAGTGTGAAAATTGCAATTTGACCAATTGTATTACTTATCACCTGTATAGTCTTCCAATCAGAAGAAGAAAAGTAATAATGAAGTCCTTTCTTCTTTCTTTTTTCTCCATAGGCTGTAAAATGTACGCTTTTTGTGGAGCTTTATTTGGAATCACTTCCATGATAAACCTTCTGGCCATCTCTTTAGACCGCTACATTGTCATCACCAAGCCTCTGCAGGCCATTCGGTGGACCTCCAAGCGACGCACTTGCCTCATTATCGCCCTGGTCTGGCTGTACTCACTAGCTTGGAGCCTTGCACCACTTTTGGGGTGGAGTAAGTGACTTATTCTCTCACCTTTTTACTCTTTTTATTCAACTACCCCTTTTTATACTTTTAGACCCTTAACACTTTCCGCTCATCTGTCTTTGTATTTTTTTCTAAAGGTTCATATATACCAGAGGGACTGATGACCTCATGCACATGGGATTACGTGACATCTACTCCTGCCAACAAAAGTTACACTTTGATGTTATGCTGCTTTGTATTCTTCATCCCTCTGGGCATTATATCCTACTGTTATCTGTGCATGTTCCTGGCAATCCGCCAAGCAAGCAGGTGAATAAATTAACATAGGTGATTATGTAGCATTTTTATGCACTAAAGACTTTGGAAATAATTGAAATTCTGCATTTAAAGGCAGGATTATTTAATACATTTATGAAAAAAGCATCATACTATCAAAGGGAAGACTGTATTGTCACATCTTCACATCAACAATTTACTTTAATGTGTTTCAGATATTGACAGTATATAAGTAGTAGACAGAGCTTCCGGGTCTGTGAAGTGAACCCAACACAAAGTGTCTTAAACCTGCATTCTTTCTAATGGCCAGCAGGAGGAAGCTCCATGGCCGGAAAAGTCCAATAGAACTGAGCCTTATGGAGTAATGACCCTACTTCCACTTGATTTTTTGGCTCCAAAAAACAACATGCCATAATGTCGAACTCAAGGCTTTGAAGCCGTACTCCACAAACCAATGGATGATGTCATAATAGGGTCACACTTGGTTTCAGAATTGCCCTTGTTCCCTCCATGTACTATGTCTGTAGCTGTTGCACATTTCAATTCAGGGGTGAACTTGGAGGTCACAACCAAATAACTATGAAATTAACCTTTGCCTAATACTTACCTTAAGGTCAACTTTATCTGTTGACTTAAAATATGAATGCAGTGTGTCCATAAGGCTATTGCTATCTCAGTTGTTGTGGTTTGTTGAAGGCTACAACTCTGTAGGCTCTTCAAAGAAGTTGCAGTCACTTCAAGCAACCATAGCATGCTAGCCTGTCACTTCTTGCCCGCTAGGCCGATTACGGTACAGCACATTTCTCTTATTTTATATTTTACCTTCCATCCTTGGGATTGACAAATTGAAGGTTTTTGGCATGACTCAGGATGTTGTTATCTTCTTAATCCTGTCTCAGAGTGGCAGGGAGCGAAAAATCATATGTAATCTGCCTTACTGCCTGCTTGCACTGTTTGCTACGTTATCTGCTTTGCCTTGCTATATTGCATCTGCATGTGCATCACTTTGCCTGCATTTGGGTCCAAGATAACAATTAGCCGTTGAGAGGGTTAATGTAGGGAAGTCTGTTTGACATGCTACGTCCAAATAAAGAGCACAACTCTTCTGGGTGTTTATTGTAGAGAGAGAAAAAACCCAACAACACCTTTACCTTATAGGATACTCTGTATGATGCAATGCAGCAAAACTGGACCAAAGATAGTGGTAAAAAGAATATAAGAGCTCCCCACCCCTTCTCTGATAATAAGCAGGGGTGCAGGTCATATTAATTACCTACCACACACAGGGGAAGCGTGCACACACACAATTACCATGAGTGACAGGCGTGCAACTCTGGGTACACTGTCTGCAAACACTACATTGAATTAATTTAGTGTCTGAATTGACTTACCTACTGGCTTCAAATGTCCTTTATTCTTTCCCTCTGTCCTAACAGAGATTTGGAGAAGTTGGGGTCTCAGGTGAGGAAGTCGACCCTGATCCAGCAGCAGTCCATCAGGACTGAATGGAAGCTGGCCAAGATTGCCTTTGTGGTCATCATAGTGTTTGTTCTTTCCTGGTCGCCCTATGCATGCGTCACTCTCATCGCCTGGGCTGGGTAAATATACAGTATGACAAGGGCTCTTTATGGTCCACTCATTTGTTTTAATACCTACATTTGTTTAACTACAGCTTGGTAGACCCTGGCATAAAACGTAAAACATATAGGATGCTTCCTTGCACTGTGTAATTCATTTCAGCCATTAATCATGAGCCTCTTCTAGAATATGATTTTTTTTTTTGGCATGATGAAATGCGAGTCAAACTACAGAAGCATTGCTGTCACAGGTGATGTACAGTTCTATTCTTTACACTTTTCAGATATGCAAGCATCCTCAATCCCTATTCCAAAGCGGTCCCTGCTGTTATAGCCAAGGCATCGGCTATCTACAACCCTTTTATCTATGCCATCATTCACTCGAAATACAGGTGAGTGCAGTCTCCCAATTAATCAGTAACCCAAGCTTGAAAATAGTATAGAAGTTTCACTGATTATTATTTTTCAACAGAGACACCCTGGCAGAAAAAGTTCCATGTCTAAACTTCCTGTCCCAGGCCCCCAAGAGGGACTGCATATCAGTGTCACACAGTCAGTCCTCCTTCAGGGACTCAGTGCTGAGCAGACAGTCATCAATATCCAAAACCAAGTTTCACAGAGTTTCCTCCATGTCTACAACAGACACAGTGAGTTTGACTTTTGTGCCAGGATTTTTGGAAATGTACATTTACTACCCAAAAGAAGCCATAAAAACTGTTCAGCAATGGCAGAGGCTCAAATGTGAAATATTTTTTCCCACAAATTATTCTTCTCACCTTCAGTGAATATTTACTGCTGGGTTTGCTAGGTGTGTCTATACCTTGGAAACAATAAATAATTAAGATAAAGAGCCGTCTCAATTGTTTTTTAATCAGAAGATGCACTAACTAATAATGAGCTATTCATTGTATTGTTATTTTCTAGTAGACCCACAATTATGAAGTTAATATAAGTAATCATGAGAGTCACAATAGTACATTCTTACCTTGATTGACATAATTAATGTGCATATCCCTTGCAGCAGTTGTGGAGTGATGTGGAGCTGGACCCTATAGGCCATTGTCTGAGATCCAGCTATTCCCTTGGAACTCTGAGGGACAAAGAGTACAACTCAGTGGCTAAGCAGACCAAGGTAAAGGGAAGCCAAAGCCAGGAACAGGTAAGGTAGGTGCTCATCAATGTATTTGTTTATCAAAAAACAATTAAAAGAAATTTTAAAGGCCTAACATGTCACCATGACCGTGTTATCAGACAAAATGTCACAACATACTTTTGCATTTTATCTAAATTTTGTTCCAGACTCCCATCGCAGAGCCAGGCTCACTGAACAGATGTGACCACAACCTACCACCTGAGCCAGTAATGTTCTCAGCCTGGGGAAGGAGAATGAAGGACAATCCTGACAACTGGAATGAAGAGAAAAAACAGGATGATGAGCAAAAGAAAGAGGGCAAACATGAACAGAGGGAGGAACAGCAAGCAGAGAAGAAGAGAGATGAGAAGGATTCACATGTCCTCTTCCAGTCCAATTGTCTGGATAATATTGTACGTGTGCACTCCCAAGCAATCATCAGACCTTGTTCAACAAAAGGCCTTCAGGACCACGGCTATTGTGAGGAACAACAAAGAACGCAGAGCAGACAGAGTGAGCTGTTGCTTGATTTACAGACTCTGGACTGTTCTGCTCAAAGATTTCTCTCTCCAACACCAGGAAGCTAAATGTTAAATATGTTATTTATCTATACGGCTATGTGCTATTGTGACATGGCAGAGTAAACAGATTTTTTTTTTTGTATGTTAGATAATCTTCTCAAAAAGCTGTTAAAACTTTAATTTAAACTGTTTTGCCATGAAGTGTAACCGAATACATTTGTTTATAGGTTTATGTGCAACTGTACGAAATAATGCTACCCTTGTTTTTGTTAATTCTTGAATGTGTGATCGTAGGAGGATCTATTTGGAGAAATGGTATAAAATATTTATAGGTGTGTTTTCATTGGTGTACAATCACCTGATCATAAAAATTGTTGTGTCTTTGTTACCTTAAAATGAAACGTTTTTATCTACAGAGGGAGCGTCCTCAGTAGTAACACTGTGATAATGAAATCACACATACCAAAAATGTAAAGGACCTTTAGAAACGGAGTTCAAAATAGTATGTGCTTTTGTCAAAAAAGCCAAGAATTAACTGTATATTAATAAAAATTAAAGATGTATTATAAGCTTGTTGTTTAAAGGCCAAAGACAGTCTTTTTTGGAAGGTTTCTTGTGTATTCTGTAAGGAAGCTGAATTCATACAATTGTTTACTTTGTAACTAAGACTTGCTACCAATCTGGTCATTTAAAAGCCCAATGAGAGGATTTGGTTACTCTTTCATGTGAAAGCCATGTATATGATGCAGTATTAGCATGATCATTACATCTATAATGAATTTATTATCACAGCAGAACTCATTATCATCATCAGTGTGATGTT